GGAAATCTTGTAGTCTTATGGTGATGATGTAGGTGGCATAAAGGTTTGGAGTAAGGGATGTTGAAGGATGAGTAAGCTGGAGATACAGCAGTGGGGACAGCTATAAAGCACAGAGAAAAGGGAAAGCTTTGGACAGCAGGTAAGGATATTGCAATTCAATCAAAATATTAGAAGAAAATTCATAACATATGTTTTGCTTAATCTTCATTTGTATTGCTGTTCCACAAAATGCTTGTTCTGAATCAGAGCCACAGGACTTTGATAACTAACACCAATCACCAGAACAGCTTTCCAAAGAGGTGATGTGACAACGCACTGAAAAATTACTGTGGCAAATTTATCACCAGTGTTGCCATTAGCTCAGTTCATTAAACTGATGAGCAGAATTCTCGCCCTTCAGAGAGAGTTAAACTGCACATAGTAAAGGCATTTACCAGTTTAATCAGAATTTGAATGCCCTGAGGAAATTGACTTACGTCACTTTTTGATTAGAAGTATGGGGTTAGGGGCAAAGACAAGGTAACAAATACCCTAGCAACAGGAATGGAAAGAAAGATGGCTTAGATAAATGTGTGTGGGCAAGGACAGAGACCATTTGTAATAAGGGCTGTTAATGAAGCAGTGAGTGAATGAAAGAAGTTTAATCCTGTAGGCAAGGAACCCCTTCTGGGTCTTTCCTGTTTCTCCTCCTCTAACTAGAACAGTCCACAGAATTCTGCCTGTCACTTTGGTGGGACAGAACTCTGGAAGGATGAATCTGCATCTACAGAAAACTGCCTACTGCCTGTTACAGTTCCATAAAACATTGTGGAGTTTACCATTTGTCATTTGATAAAGAGGTATTTTAGTAGCAGTGTCAGTAGCTCAAGGAAAAAAAATTAATAAATTCTCTGATATGTCAGTTACTATGCAGACAGAACAATAAAAGAAGTAAGAATGATTCAGAAGCTACTAGACAGAAAATAATAATTTTCCTCTCTAGCCTAAAGACAGAATGTCTTAGGCCTCCAACTATGTTAGCTTAGATTATGTTATAAGCAAAAGCTTAGATTGGGTTTTTTGACAGCCTCAGCATACTTGTTTGGCCCTTGTTTCCATTATAAATATATAATAGATAACATCCTTTTTAACAGCTGCAGTCTAGTATTCACACAGCATCCAAGGATATCCTTGGTCCATTTATGATTACTGGTAAGCTTTACCACTGCAGAATTCTATGTTTTTGAGTTTCACATAGTATGATTTTCTTTATAGAAGGGTGGAATTGTTGAGAATCAACAGGCCTAAGATAATTTCCTTTTATTTCAGTTCTTAACAGCGCATAACTACGACACCCACATCACTCAGCACTTAGCAGGGATGGAGGAGAGCCTTGGTGTCATGGATAAGGTAAATCCAAGGGAACCACCATATCTGAGAGACACATCCTTAGTTTAAATGCAGCTCCTTGCCTTCATTAGCAAGAGGTGTTTGAAAGAATAAGTGCAATTGATATAGGCATGCTAACTCAAGGACTGTTGGAGTACACCCATAATAGCACACACAGATAGATACAGATATAGATGTAGATATAGATATATCATGTATTTGACCATCTGGCTTTCAATAATTCCCTCAACTTGAGCTGTGCTGTCTACAGCAGCAGTTCTCTAGTGCTTGGAAGCAGTCATCACACATGGATTGCTGCAGAGATGAAGCCTATCCACTTGCTCTGTTACTGTAATTAAATACTTTCCTATCCTGAACACCTGAATGCAAATCTGCTAATCATTTCTTACACAGCACTGCCTATAAAAGTCACTCTTCCATTTCTAATGAAGCATTCTTTCAGTCTTCACTGTTTAATGTTTCTCTCCAAGAGCACCAGCCTGTTCAAAGTATCCTTGTCCCCGTTATTCAAAATAAGAGACACAACAATCTAGTTTGCTGGCTACCTCGTTCAAATTATGACTGTCCTTGTTTTTAAGTGATTTCACTGGATTTTCTCCAAGTTGTGCTAGTTGGCATCAGCTTTCTCTTCCTCTTCAAGCTTTAGTATTTATCTTGTGCCTTTACAGCCCATCCATCAGCTTCAGCAGCTCCCAGCAGCCAAGAGCATGTCCTTAACTCACTAATTTCCATTTACTTCCTTTTGTCCCTTTGCCTTTCATGTTTTATCTTTACTATATCTCTCTTCCTGACCTAAACCTCTTTATTCCTTGACTGCTCCTTAGAGCTCCATAAACTGAGATACCCATGTGTGAAAGACACTTTACAAAGTAAAACTTCCAATATGCTACAAAGTTAAGCTTAAAAGGTGCTACGAGTCAAATCAACATACATGAAAGTTTATCAAGCTACAGCACAGTGCTTAAAATTATAGCTTTTTGTCATTAGTTTGTCTGTACAGTTTTTGGATGACCCTATATATTTGCTTTAATCATCTCAAAATGGACAGTTGCACAAGAAGAATGTGAAAAGCCATCAGAAAAAAGTCAGAGAGCTGAAGAAGTACATCCGTCTAAAAGAGCAAGCCAACTACAAGCTCAGCCTCCAGCTGAAGGAAATGCTTGTCTCTGTGTCAGAAAGGATGCACATCTTCAAGGCAGCTGGTGAGTCCAGTGATGCACTTTAAGGCACAATCAAAGAATGTTCAGAAAATTCTTCTGATTTTGATACTGAATGTTCAGAAAATTCCCTTTCCAAGGCTGGACAGTGCTGTTCCCCACTATCAGCCGAGGGGCAAGGAATGCCTTTTACAGTATGTGCACAGTGAGCACAGTCCTTCCTGCGAAAACTTAACATGGTTACTGAAGAGTTACCTGGAGACTCTTGTGGCTCTTAACCAGAGTTAATTGACCAAAAAACTGTTCAAGTTAAAATATCACAGTCATTAATAACTTCATTAGGCAACATACTTTCATTTTTTCTGAGAGCTGTTCAATGGGCTTCTTTCCACCCTTCCAAGAGAACAAAGGAAGTAATGTGGAGCTAAGAATAGTATTCACTTGTTGGAAAACTTATAGAGATATTTCCACTGGTGGAAAACAGTTACAGATTTTCAAAACAGTGGGTACTTGCTAGAAGCTAAAGAAAGCATGCCCAGTGCCTTTTTGAAATATTTTGCTTTATTCAGTACTATAAAGGCTCTGAAGCCCAACTGTGAGTAATTTTTAAAATGCTTGCCTATTTTATACAGGAGTTGGAATAACCCCAAGACAGGTCCTATATAAATAAAGGCTATGCATCCCCTATGAGCACAGGCTAACACTAATACTTTGTTTTCTGCAGACACACGTGATATTTCTGAAAAGAAGACAAGGCAGCGTTACCAAGAGATTTTGAAGCAGAAATATCTACGGAACCTTATAAGGGAACAGGAAAAACAGCTTGAAATTCTTCAGTCAGAAGTTGAAAGCTGGGAACCAATAACACCCCATATTACTTACAAATCAGAGTCTAGGTAGATGAATACCACGGTCTTATCTAAGGAAAAAAGCTTTAACAGCTGATTCTTCTCCCTGAACTTTTCTTTCCACAAATTGTTTCTTCTGTGATTCCTTTAAAAAAAACTTTCATTTGAAAGATGCATGGTTGTCTGGTTTGTATTTTTTACACCTGGTCTTAATCCCATTATATTTCAGTTCATGAGATCTATTTCTACTTGTTTTATTATATAAACAATATAGCTCATTACAGAAAACAAAGGATACAATTTCTTGTAGACTGATAGAAGAACAGGTATATTTGTATGTCCACTGTTTGTAATATGCAATTGTAGAACCTTTTAAAGGTAAAGAAATCTATGGATGGGCATCTGCTACAATTCACGTCTGTGGATTTGACATAATAATTTATCCTTGTGGTGGCACAGGTGTAGGTTTAGGAGCAGATGTAAGGACGCTTTGTCTTGACATGGGACCTGGCCCCGTCCCAAAGGCAGCTGTGCCTTTTCATGGTATAATCACCCACAGCCAGCAGGAGCTGTGGCAGCTGCCACAGGCAGAATCACACGAAAACCAGGTTTGGAAGTATCTGGCCTCCTGAAATAGTTGGTGGCATCTCTCACCCCTTTACACTGAGATGCAGTGTATTCTCCTACTAGCTCCCTCCACAACAGCTAAGAAAAATAAAGAACCTGTGATAAAGTTAACTACTGCTAGAGCCCAGTCTACCTACTTGGGCATTCTCCCTGCTTTTTATTTCCCTGCTCCATGGTGTGTGTCAATTCTTCCTTCATAAATTCACATGGCATCTAAACCCATTTCATTGTGAGAGCAACAATAGCTTTAATAGCTTAAAACTCTACCTTTGTAAGAAAAAAATATTTCAGTTGTGATCCTCTAGGTATTTTTTTTTGCTTTGCCATCTGTAACTGGGATTTGTAAGGATTCTAATTACATCTCACTTATTACAAGTCTTTTTGCCTTTCTGCTGCAACTACCCTAGAAGCAGCACCATTCCAAATGTACCAAGGACCTCAGTGAAGATAACTGGTCCCTTCAACAGGCACCATCATCTTTTTGCACAAGCCTAAAAAGGAAAAGAAATGGTGCTTTAATATTCAAAATGTGATTTGCAATAAAGGGTGTTCTGCATTAATTCTCCCTGGACAGCAACAGTCAGTATTCTTAAGAGCAAGTTATAGGTACAGGCTGAAGCCTAATGTACCTTACCAATGGTTAAAAGGTTCTGTATCATCTTTGATTTTCTTTCTCTTGAGTTATCTAAGAAATTATCCCCTTATTACTGAAACAGGATAGAGCAGCTGGACACAAAAGAGGTAGGATATAACCAGTAAGAAAACAAGATTCCTAGCAGGGCAAGTTGTAGTCAAATTTATGTAGTTACACTTGAGCAGCAGTGATTTTAGGGAAAAGAAAAAACAGAAGTCACCATGATGAGAAAAGAAGCAATTTCAAGTTAAATAATTTTTTTTAAAGAAAGACATTTGAGAATAAAGGCATTGGAGAATAAATGAAATTGTAAAGATTTATTCAGCTTTATGATGCTGTGTTTGAAGCAATTCCATTAAACAAGGCCTTTTTTTCTTATTTATTTGAAGAGAGAAAACACCTTGGCGCTCACATGTAGTAGAAGAGTAGAAAGTTGGTTTCAATTTTCTTGCCTTCCTTTCTATTACCTCAGGATGTGGCAGAAAGCTTGTGAGACAGCAGCCCTGAAGAGATTGTCTGGACCAGCACCTGAAAGTACTGCATTATGGCACATTTCCCTCAGTAGGAGTTAAAGCCAGTGAGAACATCTTATCTCAGCTCTGGAATATTAACATCATGAGAATTAGCTATCTTCACTTAACTCACAAAATGCTGTCATTAGCCTTCATTGGCTGACTGGCACCAGGAAGAGGTTTGTAAAATGGGTGTATCTACAAACAAACTGAACTCTTCCCCATCTGACCATGCAGAAACAAATCAAAAATGAACTGCTTTCTACCTGTTAAACTATGACTTAATTTTGTTTTTATTAAATAAAAAATCACTGACCAAGTCATTAAGCCAGATTCTCCAAAGCATCACCAAGTTTGATTTTTTTTCCATAAGTAATTTCTTTTACAGTGCCTACTGTATGTATGTTCACAGCTTTACAAGTATCTCTGGAGAAAGCCTCCTAACCCCAAAACATGAAGTCCACTTTCTGACCAACACTTCTGACACAATCAGAATTTATTCAGTCTTTTCTGCTTTTGTGTCTGTGCAAAGGAAGCTCTACAGCTGTAGATTACATATCTACAAAATCTTCTTCTGTTCTGCTGTAGTGCAGTAATTGGTCTTCTAGCCCAAAAGTATCGATGAGCTCAGTGAGACTCACTTTCTTGCCATCTGCAGAAAAGGCTGACTGCAGCTCATACAGCATCAGCTGGGTGCTACTTCTCCACTTCACTATCAAAGCCTGCAGCTCAGACAGGTTGTTCTGAAATTGGAACAAACAAAGAGTCATCAAAGAAAGAGTCTGCTGACATAAGGGGGTTTTCATACCCTGCAGATATTCTTATAAAATGGCTTAAACTGAGACAATACACAAACAGCACACTAAAAATACTTACATTGAGTAAGTACTTACAGTAAGTATTGCCTCACCTTGGACCGATACATCTTCACCAGTTTGAGCCTACGCAGTAGCTCTTCCTTCTCTTGCACTTGTTTCACCAGCTTTACTTTTTCTTCCAGGGACTGCTGCTGACCAAGATCAACCTGTGGCACATCTGAATTCTCTGCTGACCCACAGGGATCACTCTCCTGTGAGGAACTTTTGAAACATGTGTGTCCAGTGCCATTTCCTTCCAGGTTTTCAGAACCATCTTGTAATCTGGAACAGTCTGCACTTGTCTCTGGCAAGCACCCTGTGTCAGCACCAGCAGAATCTTTTTCTTCTGTGTCTATTTTGAGGCGCTTTGCCACTGTAAAATTGGCATTAAATGAACGTCTTGTTTTCCGTAATCGTTCCCTCAGAGCTGCACTCATTTTCTAAAAAATAAAATAAATAAACCCCAAAATCCCAGGTGGGTCAGGATAATCTTAAATTTTTATCAAATCTCAAACAACTGTTTAGCCATCATTATTATTTATATAGAATATGTAATATATTTAACTATCATTCTAAAGCAAGACTTCTTAATTCTCTGTATAGCCTTCAAAAACTTGAACAAAGTTAACTTCTTCCTTTCACATGTATTTGCACACACAGCTGCAAGACATGGAAAAATGTAGCTCCACATTTTCTTGGACAAAATCCTGTATTCTATTGAGGTAAGCTTATTCATCTAGTCTTTGTATAAAAGAAATATAGCATATTTCAACTTGGCTAATTTTATTTTATCAATTTCCTCTCTAGCTTAATGGAGGTAAGAGTTATTTTTCCTGCTGTGCCATCCTATACATCTGTTTTAGAACACAAAACATCTGTATTCTAGAGCATATTAGAAATACCTGTATAATGTTGACCTGTTCATGCTTCAAGATACTTCACAAGCATCTAAAAGGATTTTTTCATCAAAATAACTATGTTTTATAATCTGTGTCTAACATTTTTATTCCTAGAAATGCACTAAAATACGAGAGTGATGGATTAGTTACAGAATACTTTCAAACCAGGCCTGCCCTGCATAGATCTGGATGCTGAGTGTGACAGTATCACCATTTCACATGCTGGGATAAGACAAAAGCAGAGCTCAGCACTATGGAGAATATAGAAACTGAAAGCATTGTACTTTGTTCCAGTGGAGGCAGAAATCACAGAAAGTCATCTTGCATGCACAGCAACCCAGAAAACCAGGATTTGAGAAAACTGAAGATGACAGGTTAAAACAAACAAGCAAAAAATCCACCACACACCCTATTTAATATTTAAATTTATTAATATAGCATTTGGATTATGTTGCTCCATCACCTTTTATTCACAGCAAACATCTGCATCTTCAGAGCAAAGTATACCAGTTCCTTACCTGCACAGCCTCATAGCTAGAGCTATAAGGACCTGTCTCTAGCCTTCCATCTGGCAGTATCTCAGTGGCTTCTGACTCCTTGATGATTTCACAAGCATTTTTGTTACTATGAAAACTCACATTATCGGAAAAGTAGTACTTTTTCATACCTGCTTTGCTGAACTAGTCCCCTGTGCAGGTGCCGCTCCAGAATCCTTTGGAGTATTGCACAAAGATGGCAATTTATCCAGCACTGACTCTTCCATCTTGAGATGAATAGCAGTCTCTGTTAAATAACAGAATGAATTATGGTGCCATTGTCACCTGATTAGAATGAGTCATGTGGCTGCAGAAATTAGTAAAATGCTCTAATATGAAATTCTAAAGCTTATTTTCTAATTGGCATGTTCAAAAACAACAACTGCATAAGTTACACAACTGTTTTATGTGCTACGTAGCATCTTGCTTTGTGAACAGCTTTTCTTTAAGAGGATGCATGACATTACTAACTGCCATAAAGTCTTTTACTACCCATTTTATATATTTTTCCCTCACTCCAAAAGCTCTGTGGAGCCAGGAAGATTTTTGTTGTCCACAAGTATAAAAAGTTTATATTTTCTGTAGAACAATATAATTGGGTACCCAGGTCTCTGAAAATTATCCAGTCTCATTTGATCCTTCTGGGGATGCCGCTTAAGAAAGTAATTACTCACACAGGTGGAAGTTTTGATTAACAGGAAGCATCCCAAGCTCACTCAGGCACCTTAATTAAAATGGTTAAGTCACACCTCCCAGCACGAACCAACTTCAAATCGATTTGGCAATGTTTAACTTCATTTAGCGATTGTGAACCATCTACTAATGACCAGAATGCAGCTGGAAAATCGACAGCTACACCTCCACTCACCTGCAAATTGCAATTCGGAGTTTTGAAACAGAAGCCTCTCAAGAATAAAATCCTGCAAACCAAAACTAAGCAACAGAGGGCTGGCACAAGGGGCTTCCTCTTCACAGATGAAAACTGTCAAAGCTTCAGTATGCCAAAGCCTCAACAGCCGAGCAACCCTGGTCTTCCTGGCTTGATACCAAAGGATGGAGTTCCTCATTTATCTTAGAAGTCAACATTCCCTCCCAGCTGTTCAAAACTGAACATACGGTACTCTATTAAAAAACCCCAAGCCTTAGTAGAGTCTAGTTAATCGGGTATTTTAGCAATCTATCAATTAAACTGGAAGCTCATAGCATCGATTAAGTATAATGGAAGCTTAATACTATTATTTCTTGTTGTAAGCAAGAGCCTAGAAAAAGCTACATCATTTTTATGTATACTCTATGTCACAAATACGCAATAAGTCTTTCCAAGGAGCAACATCATTTCAAGTCTAAGATACCTTTAAAAAACCCAATCCTAGGATTCTCTGGCTTTACTTTCTAATGCAAATTCGTTTTCAAATGACCACAGCAAATACTTTTTTCACTGGTTTGCTAATGCTGTTACTTGGCAGCATATTCACACAGATCTACACTTTTGAAATCCTTTTCCTGTATCTTAGGCTAAGAATCCTTGGCATTCTCAAGCAGTAATACTGTTCACCACAAAAAAAAATTCTGTCCAGCAAGTAAAGAAAATCTGAGTTAGAAGGGGAAAAGACAGTTTTGCCTTTCAGTACTTACTTGACTTTTGCACTCTGGGTACGTCTGTAACTATGTCCTCAGTTTTCCTGCTTATAACTACGTTATATAATGGTACGCACTCCTTTTACTGTCTCAACAACAGAAGGCTCTATTAACACTCAATACAGCTTTTGCCTTGCTAGTTTTCCACCCGCAGAGAAGCAGGACGAAGGCTGGGCAGCCCATAAGGAAGGCCACAACCCCGTGGAGTTCTTTCTGAGGTGCTGCACCCCAAAACCGCAGCAACAGCACCAACCCGCAGGGCTGAGGGGCGAAGGGAGGCCCCTCGGGGAGCACAAACCCCCAGGCCAGGGTGAACGAGGAAAAAACCCTGCAGAGCCTTCCTTCCCTGCTCGCTCTCCTCAGGCGCTTCAAGCTCCCGCTGCCGGGGCAGGGGCAGGCCGGGCGGCCCCGCGCCTGCGCGCCGCTCCAGCCCGGGCGGTGCGAGCTGTTCGCGCCTGCGCGCTCTGGGAAGCGCTGTCGGGCTGAGGGGCGGGCGGGGAGTCTGAGGGAGCTCCTGCTCCTCATTCCCGATCCCTATCCCGATCGTGCGAGCGGGAAACGCGGGGCATCCCCGGGGACCTCGTATACTTTCCTGTTGCGTCTGGCATGCCAAGCGGTGCTGTGTCCCTTAGGCAAGTTTGGGCCCCGCCACCCCGTGGCTGGGGTCTGGGCCACTCACAGAATCATAGAATCAGTTAGGCTGGAAAAGACCTAAGATCATCGAATTCAACCTATGACCAAGGCACCAAGTGCCATGTTCAGTCTTAAGCACTTCCAGGTCTGGTGGTTCCAGGACCTCCCTGGCCAGTCTGTTCCAATTCAAATCAGCATTTCCATGAAGATTTTTTTCCTAGTGACCAGCCTAAACCTTCCCTGGCCTAGCTGAAGACCCTGAGACAGTGTCCCTGCAAGTGTCCCTGTGCCAGGGGAGAGGGCTCTGCTTCAGCATGGAGCATTCCCCACCATGGGTAGGAAAGTAGGCCCTTTAGTCACAGCCAAGGGAACCCCAGCTCTCCACCTCAAGCTGCAAAAACTTTTATCCCAGGATCTGTCTTCTAACATGAGTGGAAAAAGTGTAACTAAGGGACGCAGTGGGAGATGTGTGACCCAAGCAGTACTGTCATGGTTGTGGGAAGGAAGAGAAAATGAAGAAATTTGTGACTGTGAAAAGGAGCAATCCCAGCTGTAGATGCACTGTGCAGTCCAGGATTAGAGAGTTCCCTGATGCTCAAAGGTGCTGCTGAATCAAGAGTGATCTTCCTGTCTCTATCAGCTGCACACCTGGCTTCCCCATGTGGATTTACTTTTCTCAAAACTGATTTGTACAAAATGTTTTTCAACTATAACTGTCAGGACAAAATGAGCTGTGGAAGCCAAAATGACAGCTCCCAGCCCTTAGGGATGATGTCCCAGTGGTTCCTCTGTCAGTCCCACAGCCGAATGGCCCCGAGCTGTGCATCGATGCCTCACGCAGCTGTGCTGAGAGCTGCACGTGGGGTACAGGCACCCACATGCTCTCGCTGGATCATGCCCTTAGCTCGAGTGTCAGAACTGCATTAATTTCCTGCTTGGTTCCTCCTCTCAGCTACAGATGAGGATGCTCTATTTTCTCTTCCCCTTCTGTAACTCCCATCTCTATTGAGACCAGAGACAGTCTTGAGCTGAGAGGTGAGTAAGGACTGAGTGTTGTAGGTGTGATAACATGTTAGCAGTTGCTGCCATTTTGACCATGAGTTTTCATAGTCACACACTTCAAAGAGAATTTGACAGGGATATAGCAACCTTTTACTCTCCTACAGTAATATGTACCAAAACATTCAAAGCCCATCTACAAGTTGTGTTGGGAAATCTGAAAACTTGGGGCCTTCAGGTTACACGTTGTGTAAGATTTTATCTGTGGGTGAAATTTATTTAGAAATAATATTTTCATTAGCAAATGTGGGAATTTACATTATGTGGTGGTGTACTATCTTTTGTAACCATCTACCAAAAAAACCCCCATTGAACAATATCCCACGTATTGAGGCAGTTTGAATGCATTTTTTTAAACTGCCCCTTTTTTGGGTTTTGAGTTTGTTTTTTTAAATCTTCAGGTAATTCAATATCACAAATATTTTAATTTTTAAATATGTTAAAAATGAGTGCAACAGCAAAATTGCGAATAGAATTTCTGCTGCAAATTTATCTAGAGGGTTTGATCTCACATACTCTGGAGCTTTGCAATGGCATGTCTCCAAATTCACAGGGTATTTCCTTCAATCTCAAGGATGGTCCCTTCTTTAAATTACTCATGCTCTGTTGTACAGACATGTTAACAGATGAGTTGCACAAGAACAACAGAAAGTTTGAGATTTTAGATAATTTGCCAGGTGAGATTCCAGTAAGATTTAACAGGAACATAACACATGAAAAAGTCATCCTGTGCATTATCATTGTGCTTAATTAGAGCAACGCCCATATGCCCCACCCATATGAGATTACAGATTGTTTGGGATTGGGAATACAGAACAATGGTGCCACATGTTGGGTGCATGAGTTTAGTGTGCTACATCTAGAGTAGAGGAAATACTGTCATCAGTATTCACTGATGGGTAATGACTCTAGGAAAAGATCCTGTTCAGGTTGGTATAAAGTGTTTAGCTGTGTTTACTCCATTTACCTATGAATTTTACCTGGTGTTTACACAGTACTGCAAAAACATGACCCACCCAACTCTTGGCTGGAAGCTCCTGACAGAGCTGGGAACTAGAGTTTCATCAGGTACTATCCAGTGACTATCCAGCATTTTTGTTGCAGAAACACAATAGTGATGGATAGTATGTTATTTTCAATTTAATGATGGCAAACCAGAATCAGACTGAAACCTTCCTCTCAAAAACTGTACATCTGTTTCCCTTGAGGAAAACAGATTATCCATGTGTCATTGATGTTGGCATGTTTATGGCACACTGAAGAGTGTTTCTCATGCTGTTCAGTTAAGATCACCAGTATGTGCACACAGTAGCACGTTCATTGCAATACAGTGTTTATTGAGCATTATAATGCTATATTTGATTTCTTTGATTTCTCTTGTGATCAGAATAGTTTGGGGTAAGCAAAATAAATGAAAAAAAGGTGTAGGAAATTGTGCACTGGGTAGTAAAATTATTGATCTCTGTTTGCTGAACATACCACTTCCCTTCAGAGAAATGAGATTCCCCCATGAACCAAAAGGAAAATGTGCTCCTTGGTTTTATTTTCTTTGGTATTTCTATGTAGACATTTTAGTGATTGGATTATTTTTTCTTCCAAGTGTACACCAGTTTGGTTGCACAGTTGAGAGCTATTATCCCCATACCCTCTCAATAATCTTGTGGCACCAGAAGAGCACTGGGGCTGACACATTAACAGTCTCAGGACAAGGACATGTTTTCATTCCCCTGTGGGCATCATCAGTAGTAGCAAAACCAGAATGGAAAGTAACAGCAAAGGATACTGGCTTTGAGTTTATAAACTCCAGTTTGAGCTTTATGAGTTCTTCTCTTCCAGACTGTGAGGAGCATCACAGAACTTCTATTTAACAGTTTGCTGGGCACAACAACCAGGCCTTTTCCCCCTAAACATTGCCACTGAGTATCTGAGATATTAGTCAACATACTGTGCCTTAAGGCAAATATGTATTACCCCCTCATCTCATTTTTCCTTGTTTAAAGCCGACTGATGTATCCTGATGCATGAAGTACACTCTGCACTGTCTGTGTATTCTCTCTTGCCTGGGGCAGGAGGGTGGGGTGCTTTTATGTGCCCAACCACTAACTGCTGCAGAAGGTTTTAAAATCCTACCCACTTGTGCATCAGCCTAGGGCTGTGTTTTTGCTGGCTGCAATTCACTTTTCTGAAAGACGTTCTGACTTGCCTATAGCCATGCAAATATACCAAGGGAAGGACTTTACAGACCTGATTCCTGGAGTAAAACCAGTTTACTACAACAAAACCTGTCCTTGGGAGATGGATTCTGCTCTCATAATGGTGCAAATGCCCAGTAACAAAAAGTGAAGTCTCTAAAACGACATCAGCTTAAGCTAAACCAAAAGTTTTTTTTTTTTTTTTTTTTTTACTTTTTTTCTTTACTTCTTTT